GAATAAATAAATTTAAATGTGCAGGATAATGCATTATCATTGCCAAGAGGTCCACTTGAGTTATCCATTTCTTTCTTTCCTTTGGTTTTTGTTATTCGAAGATTTGTTTTTTTCTTTCTCTTTACTAATATGCATATCATTTAAACATACTTTAATCTAGCAGCATATTGAGGAAAGATGATTCTGATTCGAAACATATATTAGGTCTGGTATTTCATCACTAATGGATAAGGGTATCTGATCTTAGTTTAGTTCAAATAAAAAGGGAATTAATGTTATATAGAAAATAATATTTATATCCAATGACAAAAAGTTGGATGTAAAATTAAAAATATAGAAATGCAAACATAGTATAATTAATTGTTGATCTACTTCTAGACACGCTTGGATAGAAAAAACTTTTGTTAATTTGTTACGGAACTAATGATTCTCCGTAATGGGGAGATTAGGATTTAAAATTTGGATTAAGATTTTCATAACAATTTGGAATTATGAAATATTGTTTTGTCTTATTTCCATTTACTTAAATTTGTTTTTCCTGCAGATTGTTGTTTGCCTATTTTCCCAAATTTTGTAATTAACGTAACTGACTCAAGAAAAAGAAAAAAAAAAGAATCACTTAATTATTCTCTACAATCTAAGAAAATAACAAATATATAAAAAATCAAGAAATTAACATGAGTGTAGGAAACACATTTCGATTACAAATGAAATCTGAACTTGAACAAAGAGCAAAGTAAGGCAGGAAGAGTAAGACATAACTAATGTGATTTTGAGTTTAAGTGTGGATAAGTTTAACTTCTAAGGTACTTCTAAACCCATAAGGGTAATTAAAGACAAGTTACATGGCCGTGTTCATGTTCAAGGGTTGGGTGGTTGTCTAGCTAGACAAACTAGATTTCTTAGACTTTAGACCACTCATCCGCAAGTGTCTTCCATATCGAATTATATTGTCAAGTGACATGGCATTCAGAAGGCACAAACTAAAGGTGGCATTAGCCATCGAGATTTTCTTTGACCTTTGTTATAGTTGAGACCGAAATACAATCAGTCTAAGGGACCTTAAAAGTTGAATCAAATGTTTTGTGTTACACAAGTGATTCCTCTAACCTAAGTTACACGTGGTGTTAAGATTCATCTAATAACGTACATATTGCATTAAGTGATTTGCCAAATGATAATTTTTTTTCCCAAACATTGCTTTTTGTAATATTTTTATTAATAGATATTAGAGGAAAGTTAACTTCACTCATTGCATAAGACATAATTGGGAGAAAGACAGAGAGAGAGAGTCAGAATTGTACAAAATGGCAATAGAGAAGATCATATGGAAGAAAATGTTATTTTAACCATTTTATTACGATCATAAAACCATTTAATTTCGCGCACATATTCTTAAAATTATTTTAACAAAAAAAAAATCTCTTAAAATTATTATATTTCCATTTAGCAAAATTTCCCATACACATATATATGTACCTTTTTTTTGTTACTCATATCTTTCCATTATAATATTCGAGAAGATACGTGGACGTATTATTGAGCCAACAAAATAATGCTATTTTTCTTTTAAATCTAACTTTTGATGACTATAAAAAGAACCATTTGCCATTTGGTTTTGTATGCTCAAACAAGTAACTCTTAGTCGTTCACGAAACATATCGTATTTAGAGAGAGAAACAAAACAATATATATAGAATCATAATAAGTCTTAACTCTCAAACCAAGGAAGAAAATGAAAGGAGGAGAAAAACAATGTGGGAAGATGGATAAATTGAAGCCAATAATAGCAATCATATCACTCCAATTTGGATATGCAGGCATGTACATCATTACTATGGTCTCCTTCAAGCATGGCATGAACCATTGGATCCTTGCTACTTACCGTCATGTCGTCGCCACAATTGTCATAGCTCCTTTTGCTCTCATTCTCGAGAGGTATGTATACATCATGATGTGTATGCATGGTTTGGTTATATTATCTAAAGCCATGGTGGCTATATAGATATGTAAGTGTCTCAATACTATACTTTATCGCTTTTTTTTCAGGAAAGTAAGGCCTAAGATGACATGGCCATTGTTCCTTAGGATTCTTGCCCTCGGATTCCTAGAGTAAGCTCCGTATACATAAATCGTATCCCCTTTTCATGTGTATATAATAGTATATATATTTATATATATATGCAAACACACTCACATATATATATATATATATATAAATAATTAAGTGAGACGTTTATATCTACTACACATAATTTTTTGCTTTGCATTTCAAGTATTAAAGGGTTTTGAGGAACAAAGGTGAATGAAAAAAATGAGACGTTTGATACACTTTCCTTGATAAAATATGTGTTGTTAATAAAATTTATAATATTTGTTGTGAGCTAGTTGTGTAACATTGAAAAATTTATGCTATATTTAGAAACAAAACTTATTTTTGTGCTATTTATGAAAATTGCTCTTTTAATAAAGCTTTTTCATATAGATGAATCCTTAAATTATATAAAGGTCAAATACACCATATAAAAAATGTTATATTGGTCGAATCAACATGAAAAGATTGTAGTCGTTTAGAAAAAAAAAATTCTAGTAGTGAATATTCTTGATTAGATCATTACCCATTGCCGTCTTCTCATAGCTATGCGTTTTACTTTATCTTTTAACTTGAAGAGAATGCTAATTAAAAAAGAAAGAATATGATTGGTTAAGCAGAAAATGATGCAAAATTAAAGCATATGATTAGATATAATTAATAAATTTGTAAATGTTGGTTGTCTATTCAGACCACTTTTGGACCAGAACTTGTACTACATAGGAATGAAAGCCACGTCAGCAACGTATAGTTCTGCCTTTGTTAATGCACTTCCCGCAATTACTTTCATAATGGCCGTCATTTTCAGGTAATTTTGCTTTTAACCAATCAAATAATCATTTTCTGAATTTTTTTACTTCCATTCTTATAATATTTACTAGCAAACGCAAATTTTATTATCATTAATTTAAAATTTTGCTTAATTTTATTAGGATAGAAACTGTAAACTTGAAGAAGACACGAAGTCTTGCAAAAGTGATTGGAACAGCAATAACTGTGGGAGGAGCTATGGTTATGACGTTGTATAAAGGTCCAGCCATTGAGCTCTTTAAGAGTGCTCATACCTCTTTACACGGCGGCTCCTCAGGTAGCTCCTCCGAGACCACTGATCAGAATTGGGTTACCGGAACTCTAGCTGTTATGGGTAGTATCACAGCTTGGGCAGGTTTCTTTATTTTACAAGTAAGCAAAGATTAGTTACTTATATTCCAAATTGGTGTGTTTACATTAGTGTGTTGTGTTTCCATACTTTTATAAATATTCTAAATTTCTAATCACTATAACATAACAAAGAGTGGTACCAAATCCCTATTTTGACTACAAAGTGACAATAGAAAAAAAAAAGAACTATAGTTCGCAAATTAGTCTATGCTTTAAGATAAGATTTTACATGGTAGTAGTGTATTTTGAAGATTGAAAAATTTTGTTTAATTTTTTAGTCGTTCACGTTGAAAAAATTTCCGGCGGAGCTGTCACTAGTGATGTGGATTTGCGCCATGGGAACGGTCTTAAACACCATCGCTTCGCTCATAATGGTGCGTGATGCGAGCGCATGGAAAGTCGGTATGGATTCGGGCACACTTGCAGCTGTTTACTCCGTAAGTTTTCACCGTTTACTAGCTATTAAACCAATCTAATTATAATCACACTAGTAACAATTGTTGTATTACTATGTTAATTAATCGAATGATCGATTAAATATCAGGGAGTTGTTTGTTCGGGTATGGCGTATTACATACAAAGCATTGTTATTAGGGAACGAGGCCCGGTTTTTACGACATCATTTAGTCCTATGTGCATGATCATCACTGCTTTCCTCGGCGTGTTAGTTTTGGCTGAAAAGATTCACCTTGGAAGGTAAATATACATTATGTAATTAATGATCTTTTATCATCTACAACTTACTACATACAATATGTAACTAATTAGTTGTTTAATTTTGTAAATGCAGTATAATCGGGGCGATTTTCATCGTCTTTGGGCTATATAGCGTGGTGTGGGGAAAAGCTAAGGACGAAGTGATTTCCGCCGAAGAGAAAATAGGATTGCAAGAGCTGCCAATAACCAACAACATGTCGACAAAAACGGAGGGTGGTGGTATTCCCAGTGCAGTAGACAAAACCTAAGTGTAACCTCAATTAAAGGAAATTTTTGAAGACCAAATTTCCAAGAAGGGAAATTTGTTTATCTTTCTTGTTTGTTTTATGTTGTTTACATTTTCAAGTTGTCTGTGTTAACTATTAGATTAAACTATATCATCAATGTTGTATATTTTCTGTAATTGTGGAATATCACGGAAATTGAGGAAATCTCAATTTGGTAAATTTACAAAACATATAACTAGTTTAATTTGAAAGAAATGTATATCGTTAGACGTCAAATATAAGCTTATTGTTGACAAGTATTATCTTTCAAAGCCTATGACAGTGAAACATGAAAAAGTAATGTAAAAGTTTTTACAGTATAGATATGAATCAATTCAAGCACATTCTGAGTTGCGTCTAAGCAAGGGTTGAGAAAGTTACTAAAGTTTTTGAAGGAACTTCAAGTGTAAAAAGATCAAAGTATAACTTAGGCCGTGTTCGGAGGAGAGTCGCCAGCGACCATCTCAGCGACAGATCAAAACGACGGTGGCGGCGGCCATCAATAAAGCAAAACGACGACAGGTGCACCAAAAGGTTGATGACGGAGATCTCGCTGGGGAGAGAAAAATGTGTCGCAGAGAGACAGAGTAGTCGCTGGAATTTCAAGCGACAAGTGCGGCAACTCATTCAACACTAACGGCGACATTTTTTAACAGGGGCAGCGACTCTTTTGTACGGTTACGTCTCTGTCGGTGTCTATTTTCTTGTCGCAATCGCTCATTGAGCGACTCCAAAAAGAACAGGGCCTAACCAAACAGTAAAACTGACAAATCATATCCATTCTAAACTTTAGATGAAACCTAATTTAGTGTTATATAATGCAAGTCTTAAAATTCATATCCTAATGTCATGATTATGATTAACACATTAAAAAGTACAAAATATCACCACTCTACAACAGTACATAGAGAAGCTAAGCTACATTGTTCCTGCGACAAAGCTAAGCACAACCAACGATCTTACAATTACTCGCTTTCCTCTTCACCACCATCCTCTGCATCCAAACCAAAAAGTTTTAAGACATATTCTGCTGAAATTTAATGTAAATGATTTAAAGGAAACGAAAAAGATTCGCACCAGTGTTTGGTTCTCCTTCGTTTTGACTTCCCTCTCCGCCATCTTTGTTACCTCCCTCGTCTTCTTCTTCGTCTTCATCTTCTTCTACTACTACTTCTTCATCCTCATCCTCCTCATTCTCAGAATCTTCTGATTCATCGCTCTCGCTTTCTTCTGCTTTTATCGGCTTTGGAGGAGGTACAAAACTTGCAGTGGATCTTCTCCTCGAACTCGACACAATGTTGCTTGTATCTATACCCTCGAGCTCCTTTGTTCTTTCTTTTCTTTTTTTGACTTCCTTGATCTCTGTCACCAGGTAAAATCATATAGATTGTCAATAGTTTTAAACATCAACAATTTCATTTATCTACATATTTTTCGCTCTAGAATATTTTGAAGGTGTCTACGCTTTCCTAAAGGTAGATGAAACTTCTTAAATGTAAACATTACCTTTCTCTGAAGGATTTGCAGACAACCCTTCTTTGGCGAGTAACTCCTTAAGTTCTTTTATCAGAGTTTCCTCGCGCTTCTCCTCAGGAGCCTGCTTGGCTTTCCTGTAAACCGATGGAGAAATACTGCCAAGAAAGACAACAAATCAAGGGCCTGGAGTATGAACCAACAAAGCTTTTAAAGATCTACCGGGTTTGATTAAGAACCTCATTCCACAAGATTTGATGATCGATTTAAGATGCTCAACACGCTTCCCGTAGCCAGTCGTTGGAGTTTCCTGTTTCTGCGGTTAAAAGATATTCGAAGAACAGAAACAAAAACGATGTAAATTGTGCAGTTTTAATAAGATTTGAGATAGGAACTACAAAAAAAAGCTGCTATACCTTCACAGATTTTTCTGAAGATGATGCCTTTTCTCCTGCATCACTGTCGCTCTGTGAATCTGTTTGTTTTGTCTTCTTTGCAGATGCAAGTTTCTCCTTTTCACGTTTCCGCTTTCCGGTTCCCTCTGACTTTGACGATTTTCTTTTCTCAGCCGTCTTCTTCTTTTTTACAGTGACTTCCTTGTCGTCGTCACCATCTGAATCAGACATTTCTTCACTGTCTGAATTTTTAGCTGGTGTGCTCTTGACCTTCTTGGTTACAGTTTTCCTCTGAGCCTTAGTTGACGATTTTGTAGCTTCAAGAGCTTGTAGTATCTAATTAGACAAGAAAAGTTATAAGAAGACTGTGCCTTTCAGTTATAACTTGTAAGATACATAGCTAATTATAATTACTCACTTCATCTAGTTCTCCATTAATGAATTTCTTGTAGGGGTCAAGAGAGTACTTCTCTAATTTAAGATCTTGCTCCAAAAGTCGACGAAGTAAGCCCATTGTAATTTTCCTGAAACAAACCAAGCGATTTTAAACCAAGAAAACTTCATTTGCCAAAATCATTGAAGATAGCAAACTAAACATATCGAAAAACATCTCATAATGGTTAAAATATGGCATTTGAGAAAGGACGTTAGAAACAAAGACAGATTCGACTTACTCTGAATTAGCCTTAATATAAGAAGCCCTTTTACGAAGGGCTTTTTTTATATCACTCTGCAGGACCTCTTTGCTGTCCTCATCCTTTGTTTGCTCAGCTACAGATTGGGATGTGTTTTCTTCTGTCAGAAGTCCCATCACAGGAGAATCCTCCGTTTTCTCATCATCACCAGTCGTATCTTCCTTAACATCTTTTTTCTCCTTGTGCTCTTTAGATAACTTTGCTACTTCTTTCACTGGAGTAACAGTATCTTTCTTCTCAGTTTCTTGAGAATTTTCTGAAGTTTCATCATTCTCAGCACCTTCTAAGCACTGTTATCACCAAGAAAACATATCGAGGCCTATTTAGTCAGCTGCGAATAGTTACATATTTTCTCTATTTCATGCAAAATTTGGCATTAACTATAGCAAAGGATACCTTAAGCAAATGTTGTTTAACAAAGCTCTTATGCGCATCCAAAGCATGTTTCTCCAATTTCAGATCCTCCTCCAGCAACCTCCGCACACCCTCAAAGGTGAAGTTGCTGCAAAAAGCAAAGTTCAGACTTCAGATGATTCTGCTTTCCATAAATCTTTCTCGAAATTTTCTGACAATTATCAGAATCCTTTAAACCATAAATTGGAGATAGCATCAATCTTCAGCCATTCCTTTCGATGCAAACCTTAATCTCATATACTAAATGAAACCGAACCATTACAGCTCTCATTTCTCCACAAAATCAAACTTTAATCCACCAAACCAATCTTATACAAACCAAGCCTACCATGGACAGTGAATACTACTCGAACATCGCAATTTACAGACTTAGATTTATCATTTTCTTTGTTTAAACCATATTTCACCAAGTTCAACAAACATCAGTGACCACAAAACCTAGTTTCTCCATCCAACTCTAAATCATCACCAAACGAATCTTGTAAAAACCTAGCCTACCAAAGACACTAAATTTCTACTCAAACATCTCAATTCAAATACCTATAATTCTCATTTTCTTCGTTTCAACAATATTTCACCAAAAACCCTAGTTTCTCCACAAAATCCAACTCTAAATCATCACCAAACCAATCTTATACAAACCTAACATAGCATAGACACTGAATGCTACTCAAACATCTCAATTCACAAACCTAGACTTCCATTTCTTCGTTTCAACAATATTTCACCAAATTCAACAAACAACACTGATAAATTCCATGAAATCGAAGCTTAGAGAGATGAAGAAAACTACAATTCTTACTCTGCTTTATCTCTGAGGTAGGTTACTCGAGACTGCATAGCCGCGAGAATCTGAGACTCGATAGCTGTTGTTGTTGCCTCGCCGTCCTTCGAATCAATCTTGTCGCCGGAGATCTCCATAGCCGAAGTCGTCGTCGAGTCGCCAGACATTTCTCTCAGAAGAACCTAAGTCCGATGGAGAAAATTCACATTTACCTCTCTCAGTGTGAATCGTCCGATGTAGAAGATAATAGTCAATTTTTGTTTTTCTGTAGAAGTCAAAGGGTATATTTGTAAATTCCGAACTTGCAAAAATTGACTGCTGGATATTCCAGTTTTCTGGTCGATTCGGCTAAAGATTTTTCGGATTTCGGGTAGATAGCTTTAGAATCCGCTTAAGAACCGAAAGATTTTTGGTTCGAATCGGTTCAGGAATATTAGAGCTCGATTAGTTCTCAAAATTTAATTGAAACCGACATAAAACCAAAACATATGTTGGTTTGGTTTATGGACTTCAATTACATGAAAAAAATCGAATAATTACCTTAATATGTTGAATACATATCTAAAAAATTCTAGTTACCCAACAAAAAAACCCCGAAACAGAAATATCCGAAAAAATCATGTGTATGTATTGTTTTGGGTTTTATGATTATCCATTTGAGTTTCGTCTTTTTTGGGAATTTGTTCTTATTTCAGGTTTTTTCAATGTATCAGAATCTATCCGAACCAAACTAAAAACCAAAAAATGTATGATTTAAGATCTGTTCAGGTAATAGTGGCTATTCAACACCAAACCGAACCAGACTTTTCGGGTCGGTTGGGATCGGTTTTTCTTTTATTTTATTTTGCAAATATTGCAGTATATTTGTTTGTTAATCAGCTTAATATAACTCTGTATCCAAACAGGGTTTTCAATTGGCTCCTTCAACAACACTCAAATCGCAGAGAAGAAGAATCCAGATTCTTCTCTTTCTCTTCAATGGCGAAACTTACGACGGACTCTCCTCTCTGCCGGCAAATTGTCAGTTCTTTCTTAGATTTTCTAAATTCCGGTAATCACCAATCACTTTTACGTGATCGATTCTCATTTTCATATCAGGGTTTGATTTAGACGTGATATTTAGGGTTTTAATCTTCTATGTATTTGTTGTTCTTGTAGTTGAGGTTGCTCAAGGTGTTGATGAAGAAGGTCTTGAGGTTGCTAGAGAATGTTTAGGAGAAGCTTTTAAAGTTAATTCAGATTCTTCGAGAGATGATAGCTTGAAACCCATTTCACTTGTTAATTTGTTCACTTCATTGGACAAAAATGAACCTCAAGAAACCATACGACCACCACCACCTGTTGTTGCTACTCAGGATCCTAGTTCCTCCTCTGGTCCTGACTTTTCGGGTTCTCATGACTCCGTTGATACGAGTAAAGAACCTGTTTTTACTGGTGAGTAATGGTTTGTTTAGTGTTCGTTGGACCAATGTGAGCGTTGGATAGTGTAATGGAACTTGTTCTGATTTATGTTGTGGATTATGAGACTTGTAGGGACTTCTAGAGATGAACTCTTTGGTCAACTCTTTGGTGCGCTTGAGAAAGTACGGTATTTCAGGAATACACCTGACGGAGATGATGATCCTGCTCAGCTGGAAAAATCTACTAGGATATTTCATGATGCTGTCAATGTAGGTTTGATTTCGTTGTTGACTTCATTGAAGGTTTACTTCTTCTATTGGTAATGAGTTTGGTAATAAGTTTTGTATCTGTATATCAGGAAATGGAAAAGTCTGGATGCCAGACGTTTGATGTGAAAACCTTGGCAGAAACACTCAAGTGCCAAGGTACTTGTGATTGCTTGTGTTATCATGTTAATGAGTAATATTATTGTCATACTGAAACTATTGTGATTTCACTTTACAAATGAATTTGGGACTTGTCTTGTCCATTTGTTCGAAATCGTTGGAACCTTTTCCTTATTCTTTAGTTGTTCTCTCAAGCCTATGTTAGAATGAGATCGATAAAAGTCTGTTTTGGGTCCTTGTTACCTCTATGTGACATTCGCTGCCTTTCAGGTAACAAGGCTATGCAGTCCAATCTTTATCTGGAGGCAATCGAGCTGTATTCTTTTGCAATTGCACTGACGGATAAGAACGCTGTTTTCTACTGCAACAGGTGAGTGATAAGTCTTCAACTTGATTTATCTAGAAACTGAAAGTTGTAGCTCTTTGGTGGTGTGCTTCCTGCATAATCTAATTTTGATGTGCTTAGATATTTTTTTTTCACTTGTCCCATGATCTACTTAATTTTGAAGAATAATCATTTATCAGGGCCGCTGCATATACCCAGATCAACATGTGCTCAGAAGCAATTAAGGACTGTCTTAAATCCATTGAGATTGATCCAAATTATAGTAAGGCATACAGTCGTCTTGGGTTAGCATATTATGCTCAAGGAAAGTATGCCGAGGCTATCGAGAAAGGGTTTAAGAAAGGTATGTATGTATTCGTAGAATTAATCGGAACTTCTTTGTTAAGTTAGCATATTCCTTTCGTAGGATTGATTGCTTTAGAAAAAGGCTAGAACATTGCTTCTCCAAGTTAGCTAGCATTTATTCTGTCTAACCTTTTTCATCACACTCATGGCAGCTTTGCAGTTGGATCCGCATAACGAATCTGTTAAAGAAAATATCAGGGTCGGGTATTTTTGATACATTTCTCCTTTTTAATATGATCATTATGTAACTTACATGAGAGTCTGATATTGACATGTTGTGAAACACAGGTGGCTGAACAAAAAATAAGAGAAGAACAACAACGACAGAGACGCAGTCAGGTAGTTACACGTCTGACTCTGAGTCATCTCATGGATTACAAAATAAGACAGAAACCAAAGGAACTAATATTTTGTGGTTTTGGGACAGCAGAACACGAGCACGGGTTACACTCAAGAACCGGAGATGGGAGGAGGCCAGGGAATACCATCTCAGTTCTCGATGCCTTTAAACCCCGATTTGATGAGCATGTTCATGAACATGGCGGGAAACACATTCCCAGGAAATCATTCTCGCAGTAATGAGGGAGGAGCAGGAGGAGATGGTAACAGAAATGGTGCGGATGAGCCTGAGATTCGTGTAGGCGGAAATATCAACATAGATCTCGGAGGCACAGAGCAAATGCCGGAAGATTTATCAGGTGCATTACGATCAATGATGCAGATGTTTGGAGGATCAATGGGAGGCACCGGTAACAATAATACTCATGATACTAATGGTGCACAAGGAAGACCATCTGGGAATTAACCTTGGAATCATTGTTTTATTGGTTTGTGAGTTTGTGCTACAAAAACTTTGTTAGGTTTTGAATTTGAACATGTAGTGAAGTAACATATTATAAAATGATGATGGGAGACTAATAGCTTCTTGTTGATAAAACCTTTTGCATTACACTTGAAATACAGTATTTGGATGGTGGTACACAGTTTTTCGTAAATAAAATTGGTAAACACCAATGATGAATTTGAGCAAGTGAAAGTACCCATAAACATATAGGCAAATTGTTACTACTACTATACAACTGAAAAGCCAAACCAACCTTATCAAAACAGTACCAAGCCGATAACAAACACTTCATCGAAGATCTAAACTAGAAACTCTGAAGAAGATGTAGAGTATCGGCGGGTATATACACAGTAGTAGAAGAGGCACTCACAGCAAAGCGACCGCAGAAGAGGGTTGAAGCGAACGGATCCTGATATCATACTTTGTAACACTACCAATTCTAGGCGATGTCGGATCGGAGTTTTGTGTTACAAGCGCGTACTCAGGAGCCTTCTCTTGAGAAGCATTGCCGATATAATTATTACATTTACGACAGAGAAGCTTAGTTCTGTGTCTAAATAAACCCCAAGAGTATCTAGAGAAGTGAGGCATGCATTGGAACTCATCGACCTGACTGAATCTACCCTCGTCGATGTTGAAGAAGGAAATGATCCCACTCTTCATGGATTTACCGTACTTCGATCCGATGGTTGATGTGATTCGATTAGTAGAGCTCAGGTTTAGTTCATACCCACAAGATCCACAACTACAAGAAAGTTCAAAGACATTTGTTCGGTCTGAGTTATTATCTAAAAAGAACAACAATCACAATCATAAACCAATTCAAAATCAACAATTCAAATCAGATTGATTTATCTAAATATGTAAACATCAAAATTCTCAAAATCTTCCAAAGAAGAAAGATTAATCTTTTCACACTTACAAAGAAAAAGGGTTTCTGTCTGAATGCAGATTTTTACTAAGTTCAGTAAAAAATAAGAACCCTTGCTTCATTTTTTTACTACGATTTCAGGAGATAAATATACCAAAGCTTTTCTGATCTAAATATAAGTAATTCGAAATCAAGAATCAAAACCCTAAATCAAGATTCAGTAAAAGAATCAAATCAAAATTGATGTGTAAGCAATAGATACCTGTAATTGACATGTCTCATGGAAGAAGATGAAGAGAAAGACGGAGAATGGAATTGGTTTCCACCAAAACGGTCGGCGTTAACACCCACCGACGCCGATCTTTCCATCGTCGCCGAGATCAATAAGTAACCGCCTCAAATGGTAATAATTTATCGATTTGGGATCGAAGAGAGGACAAGTTTGGATTAGGTTGATGAAGAAGAACGTGTCCCAATCGATTCGGATGACTTTGAGTACTTCAATGTCGTGGTCACAGGTTCTAGTAACGATCGAATTCGAAGCAGTAATAAGAGATCGCTTTGGTTTTTTTTTTTTTGTTTGTAACTAATGTCATTCTTTTTTATTAGTTTCAAATGCATTTATGACCTAGTATGTTTTTGACTTTTGACTGCTGACATGGACTTTCTTTATGGATTTTTCAATATTTCTGCCAATTCCTAAAAATATTTGGTAATTCTATACTATTAATTGGGAAGTACATTTTGGAACTAACCTTATTTTTTGTAAGTTATTACATTGGAATATCATTAGAGAAAAAATTTTAAAGAGTAAATTAATTCAGCTCATTAAGGATAAACAAGTAAAATACTAATTTATACCATTTAATTAATTTAATTAAATTATAAAACTAGAATATATTATTAATTAAAAAAAGAATGACCAATCAAAATGAACATATAAGATTTGATATCTAATTTACCATATTAATTTGTTATTAATCATTATACTTCACCTCTCATCTTTATATGATTATATTTATATGAAACAAATAAATCATCATATCATCCATATAATAAAAAAAAAGTAAAAAACAATTTCGCATATGCTAAGATTTGAATTTTTAAAAACGAATATAAATTGTTCAATCTATGAAGAAAACAATTAAACGGGTCAAAAATTCAGACTTGAGTAATATATTTCTTTTATACAAAAATAAATTCAACAAAAATTTTGACTGAGTAACAGGTCAGAATTTGAATATTTATATTCAATTTCATACATTTACTTTTTTGAAATGTATAATTTATCTATTACAATAAATTTTTTAAATATTTTAATCTGCAACATTTAAAATTAGTTTTAATTGATATTTTTAAAGAATATCATCAATACTTAATACTTCAAAAAGTTAAAAATTATAGGGAATATGCACAAAATAGCCAAATTTTTGAAGATAATTAAGAAAATAGTCTTATGCTACAGTAACTTGTCGGGATCATGTCGGGAAGCACATGTAATTACGTACATGCCCTTTATAACATGTTTTTTTCTCGAATTACATGTGATAGAATAATATCTCTTTTTATCATATTATTTTCTCGTATTACACGTTATTTATAAAGAGCACATGGTATTTCTTGAAAAAAATACTCTATTCAGTTTAATATCTCTCTCTATCATGTTATTTTGTAGTAATACACTTTTTTTATTATGATCACATGTGATTTCTTTAAAAAAAATTCTTATTTTCTAGTAATTCACGGTTTTTATTAAGATCACATGTTATTTCTTTTAAAAAAAGATTCTATTCAAGTTTAATTTTTCCATAACAATGTTTTTTAAAAAAAAAAAACACTACGTAGCAATGTTTTTTCTTAAAAATTCACTACGTTTTTTGAAATAGTATGTCTTTTAGTTAAATATAACACGTGAAATTTAGATCTTACGTGCTATTTTGGAAAATCTCACGAAACAATCTCGCCTACTGTTGATCTCAAAACAAACGGAGGATAGTTTTGTTATTTCACATCCTCTGACAACGTGGGTCCATCGCTGTTTTCCGACGAAAAGCTTTCTCTCTGCTAGTTTCCTAATTTATGTGTTTTATTTGGCTATTCACAAATACTACCCAAAATTATAAATATTCTAATTTTATTATTTTAAAACAATTATTTATAAAAATATTTATAATAGGCGGCGGGTTTAATATAATGTATTATATGATGAAATAAGTTATAATCCTTATAACTATTTGAATATTTATATTTAATTTCATATAATTTATTTTTTAAAGTCATAATTTTATATACTACAATAAAAAATTTAAATATTTTAATTTGGAACATTAAAAAATAGTTTAGAACATTTAAATAAGGTTTGATATCTTTAAATATTTGAAAATTTGATTCTACAAGCAATTTTGGAATTAACGAATAATAGATTGTGCACATAATATTTTCATTGGGATTTTAAAATCAAGATATAAACTCCATGCACGGTTGATTTTGGTATTATTATATACTAAATATATGTTCATAACATATTTGATTATGCGAATAATTGTTAAATTCCGTAATTAGACCATCTCCAATTCCTATCTCTATATTTTCCTCTATTTTAGAGGATATTTTACTACAATGTATGCCTCTAAAATAGAGGAGAAAGACAATGTATGCATGTATATATAGAGTAATTTAATGTATCTCCTCTATTTTAAAAGAAAATCTATTTTATAGGCATACATTTGAGCAAAAACTCTTCTAAAATAGAATTCCTCTAAAATAGAGAGAAATATAAAGATAGACATTGGAAATGCTCTTGGCTCAAACAAATCTCTATTTCAACAACCAAAAAATTATAAATTGAAAAAAAATTCCTAAATTAATTCAAAATAATAGCTAACTTTCTTAATTAATTCAAAATAATCTACGTTTTAGATGCGATTCATTTATGATATTTTAATTTTTGATCTAACTGAATTATATGCAATTCTATTTTGTGGTTGTTAACATAAATTAACTCATTGTTCAAACAATATTACTTTTTAAAAAATAATATTATTTATCGTTTTAATATCTTAAATTTTTTTTATCCATAATTGAGTATTATAGAAAAAAAAATATATTCATTCTAATGTTATATATAGAGACCGAACAAGAAATATTAATATTTTTCAATTACTATTATAATATATTAAAACTTTATTGTAAAATATATATTATATAAATTTTGTAATAAATAAAATTCAACATGTACTATAGTACGGGTGATGATCTAATTTTATACATAAGTTTTGTCTGTGGGGATATTAGGTTCTTGATGTGGATGTCGGATTCACACACTCAAGTATTTTATTAAGTGGGAAAGATTATTCTTGAGGGACAAAAATGAATGTATAAAAACTTGTGAATTGCTACGAAAATTGCTATAATATTTCTCTCTTGAGAGGAAGATCCCCCTTACATGGCCATTGGCCTCTATATTTATACATAGAGAAACGACATTAAAATGAGTAATTAAGCACAATTATTCCTTCTTAAATGTGTCCGTTTTGATTCTTTGACTTTAATGCTCAACGTTTGAATTTTGAGTTGACTCTGATCTTCATGGGCCTCGCCTTTTTGGCCCAAGTGTCCTTGAGCCGGCTTACCCGTGTCTTCTACACCGAACTCGTGTCACAGTGCAGTCACTTCGGATTCTCGAGGTAGTGACAACCACTTCGACCGCTCCTTCGGCCCATGGGTCCAATGGGCTTCATCCTTTATGGGCCATTATTTTGACTACGTGGCAATCTTTGGTTGGTCGCGGACTTCTGGTGCGGGATCCGACACCAACAATTAGCCCCCCAAGTTCTTCGAAGTGCTATTCCAATTCGGAGGACTTTAAATGCTCAAGTGGCCGAAGATTGCGCTCGAGAATCTTTCTGATTTCCCGCCGAAAATCTCATCACTCCTTTAATTTCGGCACTAACCATTTTTAACCCAGTGACATCTGTCATCATTATGACCGTATATTGATTAATTACTATTAAAACGGGAAAAAACCTTCCCACTTCCCACACAACTTCCGAGGCGGTTTCATCATTAGCTTGAGGTAACTTCTTTTCACCATTACTCTCTTCTTTTACTTTTGTACTTTAATCGGAACCTCTCTCTTTGTTTCCTCACAAAAACCCCTTTTCGCCGGATCTTGAATTTTTCCTTCTTCCCAATGACTTCCGATTCTGATAGACCCGAGTCTCCGTCTTTCGATGAGAGGCGTTCTAGCAATAATGAGTTCACCCGCTCTGATGATATTGCCGGTCCGCACTATAGGTCCACTTGTACTCTTCAATCCCTCGAACGGTTGAGAGAGCTTTGCCGGATTCCGCCGGAAATTATGGCGGAAGCACAAATAGCTTCCCCCACAGAATCCCCAGAGAACCATCGCGATGGTTACTTCTGTGTGTACGAGATTTATTTCAAAGGTTGCGGGCTGACCTTTCCTCTTCCCGAAGCCCTAGTTCTATACCTAGCGGCTCTTGAAATCGCTCTTCCTCAATTAACCCCCAATCTCCTCCGTACGATTCTTGGAATTATAACAATCGCAGTGGAGGCCGGTTACGTTGTCGGAGTTACTGAACTAAATGAGCTTCTAAGCGTGAGAAGTTCATCGAAGAAAACGGGGTATTTCTCAGCATATCCTAATGCCAACAGGAACATCATTTCACATCTTCCGAACAAGGATGAAAATTGGCATCATCCTTGGTTTCTGATTAAGAAAACTCCCGCTTCGATTGGAAATCTTGCAGATTTTCTCCCTTCGAAGTGGTCTGCGAAACCCGGTAGTGATTAGGTCGCCCGTATCTTTCCCAGTTGTTTCTTTATCTTTATTGACTAACACCGTTGTTTCATTTCGCAGCTTTCGTCGCTTCCACTCTCCCATCTGAAGAGTTCATCGAATTCTTCAAAATAATTCTTGAAGGGGAAACCCTTTGGAATTCTTTCACTCTTGAACGATTCCTAGAAGCTAACCACAGACTCAGGATGAGTCCACCTGGTCATCTTCACCAAATTCCGCCTCCTCCCTCAACTTAGGGAATGTCATCTCGGGCCCTTGCGGCCAAGCGTAAGTTGCTTTCCAAGCCGATGGCTGAGGCTTGCGAGGAGAAGAAAAAGTTTCTCGCGGCTTCTATAGACAAGAAAGACTACAGTAGGACCTTGCTGGTTGATGATGGCAGCACCGAGGGAGCTCGATCTGTCGCTTCCTTCAGATTAACTCCTCGTCGCGATCGTCGCGACTCACGTTCTCCTCGGAGGGATCAATCCCCTCGCCGTGACTCACCTCGTCCTCCCCGAGATGACTTTAGTAACGAACCAATTAAGAACTTGGTTCGCCGGAAGAGAGACAAGTCCTCTCGCAGTGATTCTTCCCCGCGGAGGGAAAAGTCAAGGGCCCGGACTGACCGCTCACCTCGATCATCTCCTCCTCCTGAACCAATGGGTCCTCCACGACCGGTTGATATGTCTTCCTCTTCCCTGCCTGACAGTGGAAAGACTGCCCGGAGTGCGTCTCCGAAAAAGGGAGATTCTGAATCTCGAGATGCTTCCTCGAGGTTAAAACCTGCTCTTGTC